GCCTAAGGGTTCTGAGTCTGCTGTTGCGCGGTCTCCTTGGAGTAGCCGCCTTCGTCGGCATGTGCCTCTCGCTTCACAGCAGCTGCACGACTGGTACGGTCGTCGTCAGGGTCGCGCTTCTGGAGCTCGGGGCTCTGCCTCTGGAGGTACTTCTGCTGATGTCACTGGAGCTGGGAGTGGTGCTGGTCCCGGAGGTGCTCGTCCTGGAGGTACTGGAGCTGCTGGGGCTGGAGGTGCTGAGCCTGAGGGTGCTACTACTGGAGACCCTGGGTCTGGGGGTGCTGCTGCTGGAGACACTGAGGCTGGAGACCCTGGGACTGGAGGTGCCGGTTCTGGGGGTGCTGCTGCTGGTGGAGCTGGTCCTGGAGGAGCTGGCGCTGAGGGTTCTGGCGCTGTTGGAGGTGCTGGAGCTGCTGGGGGTACTGGAGCTGCTGGTGCTGGTGGCATTGCACAGCCGCGTCTGTTCTTCGCTCCACCGTCTCCGTCGTCTCAGCCACCGCCTGACTCTGTGCTTCGCCAGATTCTTAGTCTCCCTTCGTCTACTGGTCTTCCGTTACAGCCTGGCTCACCGCTGCCTGCTCCTTCTCCTTACACTGGGCAAATAGAAGGTCTACCTGAGCGTCGTGAGCCTGCGTCGCGTCCTGTCTCGCCTGTCCGTTCTGGTCGATCCGGTCGTCGTGTTCCTCGTCCGCGTCAGCCGGCTGTCCCCGGCACCCATTTCGTCGTCCGTCGTTCTTCCTCTCCTCCGCAGCGTGTTCCTCTGCCGTCTCCTCCTGCGTCTTCTCTGCCTGTCGTTGCGGACCCTGAGTCTGACCGGTTTCGTGCTGAGCACCCTACTGTCAAGCGTCTGCTAGCCACTGTTGTCACTGACCCGTCGTTTGAGTCTGCTGCTGCGTCTGCCTTTGTCGCTAAGCTGGTTGACTTTGCTGCTGCCTGTCGTCTAGACTACGCTGCTAGTCTTGTTGCTGAGTCTGAGTCTGTCTGTCCTCCGTCCGTCGCGGGTGAGTGTGCTCTTGGCATGGACGTCCTTGAGGACAGACAGGAGGACCTTGAGTGTCTTGCGGCCGCTGCGCCTCATCTCGTGGCCATGCTGCTTGCCCCTGAGGGAGACCCGGATGCACCAGAAATCCCGACCCTGCGCTCTTACGCTGAGGCGATCGCGGGTGAGTACTCCTCTCAGTGGCAGACAGCCATGGACGCAGAGATGGCATCCTGGAAGTCCACAGGCACGTACGTCGATGAGGTTCCCCCTCCCAGGGCGAACATCGTCGACGACATGTGGATTTTCAGGGTGAAGCGGCCGCCAGGTTCTCCGCCTGTCTTCAAGGCTCGTTACGTTGCTCGAGGCTTCAGTCAGCGGGAGGGAGTCGACTTCTTCCAGACTTTCTTCCCCACCCTGAAGATGACCACTCTTCGGGTGCTGCTACACGTTGCCGCTCAGCGTGACTACGAGCTTCACTCACTTGACTTCAGCACAGCTTTCTTACAGGGCAGCCTGCACGAGGAGATCTGGCTGCGCCGCCCCCCTGGCTTTGCTGGGTCGTTCCCTCCTGGTACCCAGTGGAGCCTCCGGCGGCCGGTCTACGGTCTCCGCCAGGCGCCACGTGAGTGGCACGACACACTGAGGACGACACTTGCGGCTCTTGGGTTTGCTCCGTCGACTGCTGACCCGTCGCTGTTTCTGCGCACTGACACTTCCCTGCCGCCGTTCTACATCCTCGTTTACGTCGACGACTTGGTCTTTGCCACTGCTGGCACTGAGGCTCTCGCCCTGGTGAAGTCGGAGCTGCAGAAGAGACACACGTGCACAGACCTGGGTGAGCTGCGCAGCTACCTTGGCTTGCAGATCACCCGGGACAGAGCACGCCGCACCATCACACTGACTCAGTCACACATGGTGCAGCAGGTCCTTCAGCGCTTCGACTTCACCTGGTCCTCGGCACAGGCCACTCCTCTGGCTACAGGTCACTCATTCTCAGCTCCACCTTCGGACGAGTCCGTAGAGCCGAGTGGTCCTTACCCAGAGCTAGTTGGCTGCCTCATGTACCTGATGACCTGCACTCGTCTTGACCTCGCGTACCCTCTTGGCCTTCTGGCTCGCTACATGGCTCCTGGTCGACACCGAAAGGTGCACATGGATGCTGCTAAGAGGGTACTGCGCTACTTGTGCAGTACATCGGGCATGGGGCTTGTGCTTGGAGGACGGGGCGACGTTGTCCTCACTGGTCACTCAGACGCTTCTTGGGTTGACGACCAGGCTACGCAGCGGTCGTCACATGGTTACACCTTCAGTCTTGGCTCTGGCTCTGTTTCTTCGCGGTCTATGCGCTCGTCTTCTGTTCTCGGCTCAGGTTGTGAGGCTGAGATCTACGCCACAGCCATGGCTGCATAGGAGTTACGCTGGCTCACCTATCTGCTGACCGACTCGGGAGAGAGGCCTCGTTCTCCTCCAGTTCTGTACGTCGACAACAAGGCCGCCATTGCCTTGTGTCAGGAGCACAGACTGGAGCACAAAACGAAGCACATCGCTCTGCGTTACTTCCTGGCTCGAGAGTTGCAGCAGCGGGGTCAGCTTCGTCTTGCTCACGTGGCCACTCGGGCCAACACTGCTGATATATTCACCAAGGCACTTCCGTCTGGTGATCATCAGCGCTTTTGTACTTTGTTGGGCCTTGTGCCTGCATTACCACACGTGTTGTAGACTTTGCTTGTACAATGATCCTTATATGAATACCTGCATGCTTTCTCTTGCTAGGTAGTGATCACTGTGCTATTGCTGCTTATATATCTCTGCATGTGAACTGGCCTCTTGCTTGTGCTCAGTGTGTGTGGTGACGTTGTGATCCATCCTGAGCTTGCTTTGCTTTTCTTGACTGGTCTTGTGACCCTCTGTTCTCCCCCACTTTGCCTATAGGGGTGTGTCAAACTATATATAAAATGTTAGGGTGTAGGTTGTAGTGGGGCAGCACATATGGGGTACAACACATTGCTAGGGTTTGTACTTGTACCCTATCTTCTCAATAGTCAAACACTCCTACCTAGTTTTCTCAACATACAAGCATCTGCGGAGTACGTGCTTGCACATGCGCTTACAATCTCCTGCCGATGTAGTGCTGGCAAGCCGCGCGGATGCAGCATTGGCAAGCCGCGCGGATGCAGCATTGGCAAGCCGCGCAGGTGCAGCGTTGGCAGGCCGCCATTCTGCAGCGTTGGCAAGTCGCACACAAGCTGCGTTGGCGGGTCGTGGAGATGCTGCAGGTCGACGTCTTTGTCGTGCTGACGATCGACCTGCCTGAGCACTAGCAAACCTTGCATGTGATGTAGTCAATCTTTGTCATTGGGTGTTCTCATTTTGAACTCTGTATTCTCAACATTCCTAAGTGAGACTCTTGCTCTTTTGCACTGTGAAAACACAAGTCCTAGAGAGTACAGACAGAGCTACGATCACTCGGACAACTCGTGCCAATCCCATAGTCTAGCTCCCACCGTTGTAGAGTTAATCTCCTCAAGCGCACCCTGCAACACTTCGCTTCACGCCCAACATTAGGCTCTCCTACTCGAACCTCACAACCCAGACATTCAACCTCGTCAGCTACGTGGACGCTGATCACGACGCTGATTCTAACAACGACACTCACGAGCTGGCTTTTTCTTCTGACTCGCGCCGACGGGCCCAATATGGGATTCGCAGAAGTAAGGGCCGGTTGCCCTTTCGTCAGCCGGAGCAGAATTCATGGTCGCTACCGCTGCGGTTCGCGAAGGCCTCTACCTGTAGGAGCTTCTGCATGGGGCAGGATATGCAACATCTCTAACCTTCCGCCTCCACTGCGCTAACAAGAGCATGATCAAGATCGCGAACAAGGCCCATTTTGTCAACAGGACGAAGCACATACTTCGTCGTCAATGACGAAATTGATAAAGGGAATGTTGATATAACATACTGTCCCACTGGTGACATGGCAACCAACTTTATCACAAAGCGACTGCCATGATAGCAGTATCAGCAATGCACCACTTTTAACAGAGTAGTCAAGCGAGTTAAGACCTGCTATGCCCAAGAGTGAAGGGGGGTGTTATGATAAAGACTTACAGTTGTTATTCTTGAACGTACGGTAACAAGGACAATACTTGAACGAGTACGAAGATCAAAGGACGCGATAAAGCGAAGGGTCGAGGAAGGCTACTACCAAGCGCGAGCTGAAACATCCGAAATGTACAAGGCGGAAACATGTTCGTAACGGGTTCCAGCGTTACACGGTTGAGATCTAACCGTAGTAAGTGAATGCAACCCTATAGAGTATATGGCTAGTTATGAGCTTTTGATTTCCCCGGTAATCTCATATGAACCAATGCGTATCATTGACATAACCATTTTTGTCATTTTTTTTTTCCACTCTGACAGGAGTCATTAATCATTCCGCTGTGCATCACCCTGCGATCAACCCTGAGCAAAATCCTGGCTAAGACCCTCTACAAATTGTAACGAGAATCAATGCTTCCAAATATCCGCTGTTTTTACAGCCAACGGAACGAGTTGGGCAGTGGTGCACATATACAAAAAGATGCAGAACAATTTAAGGTATGTCGGGGGAGTATTTGAAACAATGTTTAGCGAGTTAAAACCCGCGTCTCATATTTCTTCCTTCCAACCAAGAGTAATACGGTCGAAACCGGGTAACCACAAAATCAGTCGCCACTGTGTTGGGTTTGGTTGGGAGCCCCTGTGATTGGTTGCAGCCCCATCAGGTTAGGCAAGGCAGATGCACGACTAACCAACGTATTTGCGTGAAAACACACCACCTTGTGCGACGAAGGTAAACACAGAGAAGCAAGCGTATTACCACAGCTGAAAAATATGAGACTCCGAATCATTCCCCCTGCACCTGGAGAGGAGAGAGACCTACACTCAACCACTACCTAGTCCAAGCCTAGTCTTTTTTCAGCGACTTAGTTTAGGCTATATTTTGTTCATGGCTTTTCTTATGCAGGCCTTAGATGCAATGCCTCTTACGTTCCACCTTCAGTCGTATGGGGTATCATTTCAGGCAGATATGCGTTCGTACGGACGGGCGATTGACTGGGTACATCGTACTGCAAATTGCTGCGCGAAAAGCACGAGAAGAAAGCGGCACCATAGTAGAATATGGTTTATGGAGAGCATAGCAATAGCATATTCGCGTGCACACAACGGGACGATAAAAGGCGGAATGAAGAACACGGGAAGACGTGACCGGACGGGAAGGGACGCGCTGGGATTGGAAGGGAGGGACGGGAGATGGGGAGGAAGGTAGGGGCTATGGGATGGAAGGGATGTTAGGCAAGCACAATGAGAGCGGAACCGGTAGCGGAGCGACATCGGCGAAAGCGGAGAGAGAGAGGCGTCGGCGGAAGCGGTAGCGTAGCGGCATCGGCGGAAGCGGAGAGGAAGGCAGCAAGGCGAGCGCCATCGCCGCCGCCGTCGCCGTTGCCGTCCCGGACGGGAAGAGTCGCGCCGAGACTAGACGGGACGGGAGAGGCCGCGACGAGAGATAAGGCCACGCGACGAGAGAGGAGGGGACGCGACGAGAGAGGAGGGGATGCGACGAGAGAGGAGGGGATGCGACGAGAGAGGAGGGGACGCGACGAGAGAGGAGGGGACGCGACGAGAGAGGAGGGGACGCGACGAGAGAGGAGGGGACGCGACGAGAGAGGAGGGGACGCGACGAGAGAGGAGGGGACACGACGAGAGAGGAGGGGACGTGACGAGAGAGGAGGGGACGCGACGAGAGAGGAGGGGACGCGACGAGAGAGGAGGGGTCGGAACGGGAGGGGACGGGAGGAGGGGCGTCGAGAGCAGAGGGGACGGGAGGGCACACCCTGTGGGTGGGAAGGGGTTCAGTCCCAACACGCGCACATCTGCCACATCCCCTTTTCCTTACCCCCATCTCCCATGCCCTTCCCCTCATCCCCCTTTCTCTTTCCTCCATTCCCCTCCCCACAACAGCATCCCCCTTTCCATTTCCCCCATCCCCCTTCCCGTCCCAGCATCCCCCTTTCCCTTTTCCCCACCCCCCTTCCCGTCCCAGCATTTCCCCATCCCCCGTCCCTTCCCAGCATCCCCCTTTCCCTTTCCCCCATCCCCCTTCCCAGCATCCCCCTTTGCTGCCCCTTCTGCTATCACCTCCCTTCCCCCTCTGCTATCACCTCCCTTCCCCCTCTGCTATCACCTCCCTTCCCCCTCTGCTATCACCTCCCTTCCCCCTCTGCTATCACCTCCCTTTCCTCCCATGCCTCACCTCGCTTTCCTCCCATGCCTCACCTCGCTTTCCTCCCTTGCCTCACCTCGCTTTCCCCACTTGTCTCCCCCCTACTTCCCCTATTGCCCCATCTGTTGACGTGCTTGTTCCAGCATGGCGCCACAAACAGGTTGAACCCTAATTTTGTGACTAATGCGTAGATTTGAACTCAGTTGTTGGCAAAGTAAGCTTGCCGAACTCTCATAGTCTCTTGTCTTTCAATAGTATATTGAAATTGACACTCAGATTGCTTCAATGCATCTTTGAAGTAGCAATTGAGCACGGCACTGACGTAAAGAGCCTATTGATTGTATACACTTGTATATTATCTAAAAAATACGAAGTACAACTTTCCTCATGCGGCGGCGTCGCCTTCGTGCGTCTGGCCGTGCATCTGCTGCATGCCGCCAGGCTCGCCGGGGACTAGCTTAGTCCTGCTTGTAGCTGGAACTAAGGGAGGGGGTGACGGGAGGAAGGAAGGCTCCAGGGATGAGAAACATGGTGGGAAGGGGGGACAAGGAGGGTAGGGGTCATGGAAGGGAGGTTGGCACGCAAGATGGGAAGGAAGGGAGGGCAGATGGAGAAGGTAGGACGGCTCCGGGCGGGAGGAGGAGAGTGGGAGGGTGGGAGAAGGGCGGGATGATCTGGGAGATGTTGGCGGGACAGCCGGCGCAGGAGTCCAGAGGGGTGTCCTGGTGTGCTGTGGGGTGGGGATGGGGATGGGGGGTTGGGGATGTGGGTGGAAATGAGGGTGGGGTTGGGGGGTTGGAGATGGGGGTGGGGACTGGGTAGGGATGGGGTGGGGACAGGAGGAAAGGGGGACGGAAGTGGGAAGAGGCAAGAAGGGTCGATGAGAAGAAGAGTGTGTTTGTAACCTCAGCAGGTGGTTAGGCAGGTAGGTAGGAGAAGTCAATGCGTGTAGTGCAGGGAAGGTAGGGCGGGAAGAAAGCGGGGCACCTCAAGGAAAGCAGCAGTGGAGCGCTGCACGCGTGGAATATCCTCATCTGCAAGCAGGCGCGCCACGGCTGGTGAGGGATGCAGTGAGTGCAGACACGCTGCCAGCTTGTCCGCCATCCAACACGGGTCCCGCACGTGATGGGCGCGTAAGGGGAAGGGTAAGATTGGGCAATCGACTCACAAGTCGCATGACGGGCGCGAAAGGGCGGGAAAGGTTGGGCGCGAGCAGGGGAGGGTGGTGGTGGTTGCAAGGAGAGACGGAAGCACGTGAAAGGCAGGAGGGTGGAACGTGCTGCCATTCCGCGCAACAAAAGCAAGGGGGATCAGACGCGGATCCAGGTACTGAAAATAAAAAATTGCTTGTATTGGACACAAATTTTTCCCCATGCGGCGCCCATCACCCAGTGCTCTGCCCTGCCCTGCCCTGCCCTGCCCTGCCCTGCCCCAACCATCCCTTGCCCTGCGCCCTGCGTCACACCCACCCATCCGTCCCACGTGCTGGCTCGAGTGGACACAAGCAGTCTGACTGGCATGCAAAACACCCATCCCACTCGTTGCTCTGCCGTGCCCCACCCATGCCTTGTCCCGCACGCTGCATCATACCCATCCATCCCACATGCTAGCTCGAGTGGACACAAGCAGTCTGACGGGCATGCGGAACACCCCGCTTGCGGCGCTGCCTCCCACTCATGTCGCCGCCCCACAGTCCCCCACTGACGCCTGAATAGGGCAGAGGAGGAGTGGGGAGGGAGGGAGGAAGGAGGAGCTAAGGAGGAGAGGAAAGCAGCGGCGCACGAACAGATGAAAGAAAAGAGCATGGGGTGAGTGCAACGCTAACTCGGTATAAAAGGGCAATCTCTGTGCACAGCATCGGAAGCAGCCTACTGTCCTGCATGCATGCATGCCATCAGTCCCCTCCCCAGGGCCTTACTGCTTTGTACTTGAAGCCGTGTGGTGGGGACCGCAGCAGCGGCCCTGCCACACACTCAGGCGACACGTCCTCCACTGCCCACCTGATGCCACGCATGCGTCAGAGGGATGGGGGACGAGGGAAGGAAAGGAGCGGGTTAGAGGAAGACAAGGGAGAAAGAATGGCTTGTGGTAGACAGACAGAGAGTTATTGTGACAGGAACGGAAAGGCGGGGGGTTTGTGACAGGGAGAGGGAGGTTGAGAGGGAGGGAGGAGGGATGAATGAATGCAGAGTGAAAGGCTCGGGGTAGCAAAAAAACCCAGGCCCATCCCAAGGCCCACCCAGACAAATCATCCCTCCCCTCCCCCTCTCTCTCTCCTCCTTCTCCCCACTTCCCCCCCACCCGTCACTCACCGAAGGTCCGGTTCGGAGATCTTGGGGTGGGCGGGGAGGGAGAAGAGCGAGGGGAAGGGAGCGGCGTGCACGGGCGCGTCTGTGAGCCAGAGCACCTTGAGCGAGAACCCCGCCGCCGCTGCCAGCGCCTCCATTCCGCACAACGCCACCACCCGCGCTGCCATGCTGCCCTGGGGAGGGGGAGAGAGGGGCGAGAGGAGAGGGAGAGGGGCGGGGAGGGGGGAGAGGGGAGTAGGGGGAGGGAGAGGGCGGAGGGGAGGGGGGTAGGGAGAGGGGAGAGGGGAGTGGGGAGAGGGGGGAGAGTGGGGAGAAAGGGGAGAGAGAATGGGTGTGGTTGTGGAAAGGTGCTTGCTTCGGGCGCAGTGAGACGGAGGGCAGACTGAAGATTGTGAGAGCTTAGGTGCGACTGGTCGATGGGGAAGCAGGGCGGAGCGGAGTGGGGTGGGGTGGGGAGGGAGGGGAGGGGAAACGGGGTTGGGGGGGAGGAAGAGAGGGGAGAGTGAGGCCAAGTCAAGATACAGAGGTGTTTCGAGAACTCTCGCAATTTCTAGGAATCAGTGGGCGACGCAGCGGGCGACACAGTGCGCGACAGAGGCGTCGCACGCACCTCGGCGATCAGAACGAGGTCGTATTCGGCCACGCGAATGAGCAAGTACTAGAAGGCAAATGGCGAACTGGTCATACGCTATTCGATGTCGAGCCAGCAGGTAAGTCGCAATAGGTCTTGATGTGAACAGCTGGTAGAAGGCAGGACAGGGCAGCACGTTTGTACACGAACCATCGGACGCGGAACGGCTGACGAGGGAGAAAATGCTGTATTTGCGTGAGACGAGGAGGCACTAGGGTTACTAGACTTTCCCTGCGCCTGCTATCTGTTGGTCTAATATGAGGTACTAGGTGGTTGTGCTCTGCTCTCCATGCGACTGTCTGGGGGTTGGGGGTGAAAGTGGGCGACTGTGTGTTGTTTTGGCTCGTCGCACGCAATTGCGATTCTGCCAAACCTGTTTTCTAGGTGTGGTGTGTTCCATGCCTGGGAGGTTTGTTTGGCGTTTGCCTTGACGAAGAGGGGCTTCGCTTCTCTTTTCCAAACTGCTCGTCACAAACTCGCCCCTCGTTACCCAATCACAGGTGCCTTTGCCCAACCAAGTGTAATACCGTTGTAAATATGAGACGCGGGTTTTAAGGATAGTGCACCTGGTTTTGTGGCCCCGTTTTTCCACTGTTCGTAACACCTTCCACTGTACAGCGAAACCGCTAGGGATGTGGTGCCAGCGTTCCGCCCGTCGGTGGGTCTGGAGGGGGGCCATCTCGCCAGCAGCAACTGTCGGTGGCGGGCAGGTGGGGTAGCCATCAAGTCGGCTGTGCCTCTGTAACGGCGCGTTGTGCAGCACAGCAGAAGATTCGTCAAATGTTGTGCGACGGGGCAGACCGTGAGCCCATTGGATACGTTCCGTGCTGAGTCGGTCGCTGGCAGCAGGAGCCCGTCGTCTTTTGCTTGACCCGTGCCCCACCCACAGCAGCCCCACTTTGACCCGCAGCGCATCTTCGCGGCAGCAGTCGCGTGGTGGACGGACCAGGCATCAGGGCAGTGAAGGAGACAGCAGCAACAGGGACGCTAATCGGATGCGGGCATCTGCAATGGAGCGTTGCTGCTGCGGACGCAAGTCGCATCAGTCCCACGGCGTCCCTGCAAGAAGGGTGAGGGGCGACGAGAGGGCAGCGAGCAGCGGCCAAAGGTGCCGCGCCATTCCAAGATTCACTGTAACGCCCTCGCCACCACCACGCCCCACCCATTGGCCCATTCTTGTCGAACCATTTGTCCCGCCGCCTCGTGATTCTAGTGGACATGATCTCCACCTTGTGCCGCACGACGCCCGTTACTACTTGCGACCTGCCTTTCCTGCGTATGGTGCTGCTGTCAAGCGAGTCCTTCTCGCTCGCTCTGCGTTCTTTCGAGACCCGTGCTAGAGCGTCAGTTCCGCCGTGAGCCCCATCCCCTGCACCACCATATGCTCTCGTCTCCTAGTCGCCACGTACCGCGCGCCTTCCCGGCGCGACTCGCTTCCTCGCCACGTGCCATGAGTCGCGATCACGGCGCGGTTTCCCCGCCGTGCCCCTCGCCATACGTCTCCCGCGCGCCTGCGACCCCCCGTGTGCATCCGCCTGCTGCGCCCGCGGTCGAGCGGTTAGGCTCGCTGAGCGCCCGGGGTGCGCCCGCGCCCGCTGCACCCGGCGCGCCTTCTCTCATGGCAGGGTCGGCCACTGCACCGTGCGGCGGCAGCGCGGGTCATCGGCGCGCGCCGTCGTGGCCGCTGCCGAGTTTGGTGCCGCTGGACCGCCTGCAGTCGCTGTCGCTGGCGGACGTCCTGGCGGAGATGGCGCAGTGCGCAACGCCCGCGGGGGATGCCGCCGGGTCCAACGCTGCGAGGGAGAGGATTTGCGGTGGCAGTGGAAGTGAGGGTGCAGCTGGGGGGGGGCACGTGCGAGAGGGGAGTGGGAAAGAGGGGACGGGCGGAGATGGGGGAGAACGAATAGGAACGGCGGATCGAGGAGCCGTGGCAGGGGACAGGTGCGCAAGGGCAGGGGACGAGGAGGACGGGGGGTTTAGAGGTACTGGCAGCAGCAGCGGCGAGGGGGGCGCGGGTGATGCGGCCATGGCAGCAGAGGATGCAGAGGCACAGCGCGCAGCGGGTGATGACATGGAGCAGCGCGACGCGATGATGGGGCTGATGCCACTGTCGCCGGGCGACATGCTTTCGCCGCCATCCGTGCTGCCGTCGCCGCGCGACTGTGGCTTACCGTCGCCCTCGAATCTGC